GGAAGCTACGTTACAAAACCGAGAAAAAATAACTACTTAACACATGCAAAAAAACAGTCATAACTGTTCAGCTTCAGTTTTAATATTTGATTTTTATCAAAATAATGTTTTTTTCTGAATAATAAAATCTTGAATGTCAAATCATTCAGAAACACATCTAACAACCGAGATATGTATTTTCTCTAAAGCAGCAGTTGGTGAATGAACATGTTGATTTCAGAATGATGTGATGTTTCTCTCCCACTGCGCTGCAGGATTTCCTCGAGTTAAACTTGTCAACAACAAAGAACAAGCCAGAGCTACAGTGGTACTGTTGGTACAGCAAGAAAGTCTGGAGTTTAATTTACTGGCCTCTGGTTTCCCAGCATGCATTTTTATCCCTCTGCTCATGTGGGTTTACTTTGGAGTCCAGCTTCCTCCCTTAGTCCAAAAACATGACGGTCAGGATTTTTGTTTTCATTTAATCAGGTATGAGTTCATGCATGAGTGGCTGTCTTTATGTTTCTGGTCACCAGCTGCGTTTCCATGACAAATGTGCACAAATCTTTGTTGACATTCTGCTAATTCTGAATTGTGGTGTTTCCATTACATAACAAATGTATATAAAACCATGTGAATAAGTTTGTTCATGCAGTAAATCAATCAGTCAAGTTTATTTGTGTGGCACATTTAAGCAACATGGCAGTTCAAAGTGCTTTACATCCTGAAAACATTAAAAACATCACAAATAACGAACAATTGTGAAAACCAGTAACATACATTACATTTTGTCAATGAACATCAAATATGTTGGTCAATGTTCCAGTTATTACGGTTCAAAGGCAACAATGAACAGGTGTCTTGATTTAACGAAACTCAACCTGTGAACACATCAGTGTTGTCACAGCGGCCCATTTCTGTGCCCAGAAATGGGGTCCAACCGACCCCACACACGTAAAACTTGTATCATTTCCCACAGTCCTCTATGTTTGCCTCAGTCCTCGCACGTACAAAGTCAAACTTTAATGTGGAATTCAATGATGATTTGCTCCAAGGGAGCTTTCTGTTACTTTTAAGAAACATTGTCTGTTTCTTTTAAAATAAAAGCTAACTATGACAAATCACCAAATTTCATCTAAATTTAATATGACACAGCATTTGCTGCACTTCCTTTTTTACTCGCTATCATGTTAAACAAAGATAGAAATGGTCACCACAAAAACATCTTATTCATAGTTCTGGCTGGGTTTAGCTTGTTGTTGAATAAAACAGACTAATTTTTTTTTTTGCTTGAGCTTTTTATTTATTTATAGAATAAAGCATTGCTAAAAGCAGTCTTCCACAAAACCAGTCGCCTATTACTGAAGACTTAAGACGAAACAGACAACCTTAATCTGAAAGTGTTGCAGATATTTTTTGTCTTTTACGTTGCTTAAAAGCGAAAGAGCAATATTAAGAAAAAGATTTTGATGGACACAGTCGCTTCTCTTCATGTATCTATACTCATTCCAGGTTCCAGGATTCGGTCCTGCTTTTAGGATTCACTAGATGAATCTGACTTTCTTGGCACATACAGATGGTTTTGGGAAATAGCACTGGACGTCATCCCAGCACTTATGATCTGAAAAATAAAAAAAAGAGCGAAAGTATTTGTCTAATCAGTTTGAAAGAATGAAGGTGGTGACATGAAAACAAGAATTGCAGATATCATGCCTGGCTAAAACAATAAATTCCAACCTCTGAAGTTATATTCCTCTTATTCAGGCAATTTCATTTTTGCAAAACATAGCTTTACCTCCAAAGTTAATTTGTAAGCAATCCTGCTTCCGTCCTCCGTAGTTATTCGGCTCTCCAGGACACCAGTTTGTATAGAGGAAAGGAGTACCATCAATCCAGAACCAGTTATTGTCCTGGAAAACCAAACTAAACTTAATAGAAAGTTAGTCACATGAAGCAAAATAAAAATGTTGTGATAAGTGAAATACCTCCTGCGCATCAGAGCCTCCAATCCAGGTCTT